TTCTTCTTCTTCTTCTTCTTCTTCTTCTTCTTCTTCTTCTTCTTCTTCTTCTTCTTCTTCTTCTTCTTCTTCTTCTTCTTCTTCTTCTTCTTCTTTTTATTCTTGATTATGTCTCTGGGAAGACATAAAGAAAGATGGATTGGTGTTTGTGTTGGTGTTGGTGGTTGGGGATGATTGATTAATTGAAATATCTTAAAAGCGCTTGCTTGCTTGCTTGCTATATGGCCAGGTTGCTATGCTATGCCAGTCTTACTACTTTGCTCATTATTTGGCGTTTGACTGGGTTGGGGGTTCTTCGTGTATATAGTATTATCTCATACTATACTTGCTTCTACTGACGCATACTTCGCAGTAGTCTACGTACCTGTTTCCAGATAAGTACTAATACCAGTCTCAATCTCAAACAGATTACCATTACTAGCAAAGCAGAGCTAAGCTACAACCAGCAAGACAAAACAACAAAGAGAAAAAAAGAAATCAAACTACCAAACCATAAACACCACCCACATGCACCCACAACATGGATAGTAAGTTAGACCTTGAAAATAAACTCCACGCTTGCAATTCGCATCCCCGTTCCTCTTCCCCCTTCCTTCTTCCTTCCCCCATTCTATCCCTCCAGAAGAGAAAGATGAAAAGAAAGAAAAAAAAAAAAAAAATTCACTCACTAGGCGGCCTAACCTTAACCGGTCCCTGACCGACCTCATCCCAATTCGTACTCAACGAAGTCCCCTGACTCTCCACATAACTCTTCACCATAGCGCGACGAGTATCCGGGTCCGCATTCGCATAGAGTTTCTTGAAGAACCCATCGACGGCATCGCCGCCTCCGAAGTCCGAGTTGATGGATTCGGCGTCGGATGCTTCATCATCTTCTCCTTTGCCTTCTGTCTTAGACGCGTCTTTATTCTTGGGTTTGTCCTTCTTCGACTTCTGGGTTAGGCTTGAAGCAAGCTTATCCCAGTCTTTGGCGCCGTGGCGGGAGGAGGTAGGGTATGATGGGCCTTGGGCTTGTGGTTTGATTTGTGTGGTGGGTGCAACTGTACTTGTAGGCTGGGGAGTAGTAACTCCGGTGGAGGATTCCAAGGCGCTCCATTTCTGGCCTGGGGATTTCTTGCGCAGGGAGATTTCAATCTTGGTGGAGAAGACGGAGACCTTGGAGGTGGAGGGGTCGATGGGGGCGAAGAGCGGGTCGAGGGTGAAGTCGTATTCGGCGCCGGAGGGGAGGGGGAATTGGAGGGATGTCTTGAAGTATAATTAGTTAGTATGTTGTATGATAGATCAAGGTGATGGAGGAGGGGTACATACCGAGTCCTCTTTCAACTCAATAGCCACTTTATCCTTAGGCACGCCTTTCACGTACAACGTCACGACAACCGTCTCTCCGGACTGGTACCATTCATGACGGACCTTGACTTGTTGCTGCTGCTGCTGTTGCTGAGTCTCCTTAACCTCGGCTTTCTCCTCCTCCTCCTGCTGCTCCTTCTCAGCCTTATCCTCAACCTTCTGACCCTCCTCACCAACAGCCGCAATCTTACTCCCCCCCCTCAACTCCTCCAACTGCGCCCTCAACTCCTTCTCCCCAGGCACCTTAACCCCCACCGGCACCTCCTCCACCTCATCCCCATCACCACCTGAACCCCTCACCTTCGCCCTAATCTTCGCCCCCCAAATCCTCACCTCCGCCTCAACACCCTTCCCAGCACCACCCGATGCACCCCCCATCGCCCTCATCACCTTCTCCTCCTTATCCTCAACCTCCTCCTTATTCCCCTCCTTATCCAACCCCACCATCCGCTCCACAACCCCCACCACCCCCTCAGCAGCAACATACCTCCCCATGAGAAACAAGACAATAGCCCTGCGCATCTGCGCCTCGACAATCAACTCGCGCTTGCCCCGCTCGCGGGCAAGAAGCACAGCGGACTCGGCATCGCGCAGCGCGGCGGGGAGATTCGGCGTCGGCTTTAGGCGTGAGAAGGCGGTCGAGCGCTTGATGAAGTAGCTGGGGGATCGGGGGTGCGTGAGGAGTGCGGTGGTGTAGTGCAGGGTTGCGGTGGTGGGGTCGGAGGATTGGAGGGCGGTGTCGCCGAGAGAGGCGGCGTTCATTTTGGATAAAGGTGTTGGGGTGTTGTGTAGGTGGGTGGATTGGTGGGTGGGTATGTGGTTATGTAGGAGGTGAGTATGGGATGTGAAAGGTGGGGGGTTTTTTTGTAAGGAAATATCCGAAGAAAATAAGGAATTAGTGAAAGTGAAGTGCAGGTGAGGTGAATGGAATCGAAACAAAGTTCGATGATCTTCTTTGGAGATGCGGGGAGCGGAGCATCCACGTGATTGGCTACTCATATACTAACTATAAACACCATTGTATACTTGAATCATATTATCAATTAGTAGAAAGTAGTAGTAGTGACTAGTAATACATATACTCATAGAAAAGTCTGCTGCAGTCAGACCAACTCCTCATTGCCAAACTTGCGTGCATACAATCCCAACGCCCGGATCGGCCAGTACAACTTATAGTTGGGGTACGAAATCATGCTGTCACTCGTTAGTACTTAGCTATCTCTCAAGTTACGATCAGGTATACTCACCAAGATTGGTTGAACACTCCCTCAATCGACTCCTGCAACCACTCTCCGTTGGCCTGCTGCCGCGACATCAGCAGCTGCATTGCCTTTCGCAGCGGCTCCTTATGCGGATACCCGGCCTCCATCAGCGCCAGACTGGCCCACGCGGTCTGCACGACCTGCGACTTCTCGTGTTGCACGTAGACGTGCTTCTCGCTGCTGAGGTATGATTCGCCCCAGCCGCCGTCCTCCTTCTGCTTCGAGATGAGGAACTCGCATCCGCGTCGGGAGTCCGCGCTCGTCTCGTACGTCTCTCCGATGCTGGCCAGACTCTCCAGCGCAAACATCGCCGCGTACGTGAAGCAGATGCCCCACGATCCGTACCAGCTGCCGTCGGCGCGCTGCACCCGCTTGATGTACCGCACGGCCTTTTCCTTGGCGGTCTTGATCTCCGCGGCCCGGTAGTTCGGATAGTACTTGCTGAAGAGGGAGAGCGCGGTGACGGACGCGGTCGTGCACTCGGGATAGTCGTATCCGATCATGATTCCGCCGAATACCTCGGCTGCGTTGAGCCACTCGACCTTCTCGGATGCCCGTGTGGTTTCGTACTCGGTGAAACCACCAGTAGGGTTCTGCATCAGGAGCAGACAGTCGACGCTGTCCTTCAACCGCTCCTCCGAGATGAGTTTCGGGAAGTTGTGCATCTCCTGCAGCTGGATGGTCGAGCGCAGTCCCTCAGCAGTGCAGTCACTGACCGTGTATCCCTGCGTCTTGTTGCTGAATGGCCATGCGCCCTTGCGGTGCTGGCGGTAGCATTTCTCCTGGTCCGGCACGTTCTCGCGCAGCTGATGGTCTTCCAGGAACTCCAGCGCTCTGGTGAGCATGGGCCGCCATTTCGGGTCATCGCCAAAGCCAGCCACCACGATACTCTGCGTGATAAAGGCTGTATCCCACACCTGGACGCCGTTGGTGCCGTTCATCAGCATGCCCTCGTCCTTCATCCACATGTAGTCGTGCAGCCGTTCGCGGTGGCGACGGACCGAGTAGCTGTCCGGACCGTCATGCTCGTAGCACACAATCATGTTGAACGGGTTGCTCACGGGCCCCAGACCGGCGTAGTCGGTATTCTCGTCCTCCATGCGCACCAACTCCCACGTCCACTCCTCCGCGCGACGCACAATGGCAGGAAGACGAAGGTAGGGGTTCCAGATGTTGACGAGCAGAGAGTTCAAAGTATTCAGCAGCCACGTCTTGGGGTAGTAATTGTCCGCCTTGTGGATTGAGTTGCGATGCGCCGCAAAGTCAATCGAGTCATACGGCTGGGTATACAGCTCCTGCCGCAGCTGCTTGGTGAGAGGGTCCAACGGATGCGAGAACCTCTTCGACCACAGATACGACATGGGCAAGAAGACCTGACGAATATGAATCCACCAGCGCCACGGCGCAAACGGCACCCAGTCAGGAAGTAGCCTGGTAGAATCAGCAACCCATCCACAAATCTTCCAATACTCACAGCCAGAAAGAAACATACCAAATCTCCGGCGGCACCGGATTAACACACTCCCAATCCATAACACCCAAGACAGCCAGTGAGAACTTAGCCCAATGAGGCCCATAAATCGCACCTCCAAACCGATGCAACAAACCCCTAGCCTTCACCATCCTCGGATCCTCCTCACTCACACCCACCAACCTCAACGTAACATAATTCATACAAGTACCAAACACAGAACTATGAGCTTCAATATGCAACCCCCACCCACCATCCTCCGGATGCTGCCTAGCAAACAAATAGCGCTTAATCTCGGTAGCATACTCCGGCGGAATAGGCGTGTTGGTAACATAATACGTGATAATCAAGACAGGCAGCAAGAACATGGGCCCACCATACTCGCACGCCCAGTTCCCCGGCTCCAGCTGCAACTTGGAGAAGAACTCCAGCCCGTTCTCAGCGCATTGCAGGGGCGTCTGGGGTTTAGGGAGCTCGGGAAGTCCCGTGGGCAGACCCAGGAAATACTTATCTGCGATGGATTGAGGCCATTGCTCGTTTTCGGCGTCGGATTCCAGGTAGTGCCAGGTTTGGCGGCCGCGGTCGTCGCGGAGACGCCAGCGTGTGTAGTCGGTTTTGAGATCGCCGTTGGCGTCGGGAGTGAGATGGCCTTGGGCGGGAGTTCTCCACGGGCCGATGTGAGGTCCCGACATTGTGATGGGGTTGTTGTACACTTATTATGTATGGTATGGGGGGATAGAAAGGGTGGAAGAATGGCAAAGTTGGGATTGGTGGAGAGGGATAGAGGGAAGAGGGTGGTTTATAGGATACAACCACACTCGAGAGGAGAAAGGAAGAACAACACACTAAATCTCCCTTGCCCGAATGTTATTTGCTGCCTGTTGTTCGTGCAGTCTTAGTTGTGCAGCTGAGTGTTTTGTTGGTGCAGGAAATGAGGGACATTGTCTGCTGAGTCATCAGGGGTGCCTGGCTGGCGATCAGCATAAATAGGCAGGAATACGATGTTTAATACGATCAAGTCCTGCGGCATGCAGGAACGCATGAAATAACGGTCAACTCGACAGAAATATCGGAACTTTAAATCGGAGGCTATATGACCTGTTACATTAAATATTACTATCTAGTGCCTCTGCACCCCATCAATTCCAGAACATAAAGCACACACACTATCGAGAGGTATCAAGTACGCAAAACGACACGGAATCATTCTACCGATTCCCCCGGGTATCAATCCAACCTGTCCCATCCATTACCGTAAATTAAGTGATCAGTGATCCTGGCCTCATCCCGACCAGGCGTGAGTTACGCCTCTTGCTTGCTTTTATTTGGCTTCCGTGGCGGGCGCCTCCTGGGCCGTCACTGCGGTCTCTGCCTTGGTCGGCTCCTCAGCCGCCGGTTGCTCTGTCTTGGCTTCCTCCTTCACCTCTTCCTTGGGAGCCTCAGCCGGTTCTGCCTTGGCCTCTTCCTTAGGGGCCTCGGTCTGCTCCTGCTTGGGCTCCTCCTTAGCCTCCTCCTTGGGGGCTTCCGGAGCAGGCTGGGCCTTCTCGAGGTTGACCGTGAAGGCCTCCTCCTCGAGGGTCGCGCCGTTGCCACCGTAGGTCTTGGGGAACTTGTCCTTCAGGGAAGGGAACTCGCGGGCCAGGTTGGCACCGTTGGAGATGGGGTGGAACTTGCGGGTGGTGTTCTTGCTGAGGAAGACCTTCATGGCAGCGAACATCCAGCCCATAATGGCAGGCACGTTAACGAAGAACTTCTCCCGCAGCAGCTCGGGGTAGGCCATGGAGAACACCTCGATGGTCTTCTTGCTGGCCGCCTTGATGGTGGGGTTCAGGCGGAGGAAGCTGACATTCTGGTAGTCGTGGACCTGAAGCATCTGGTACGGGTCCTCGCCGTCGTAGTCGATCACGGTCGTCGCCTCGCTCAGCTTCAGGTCCTTGACAGCGAGCTCCATAAGCGCGACACGCCACTTGATGAATCTAGTGACAGTTAGATATAAACCTCATCAATCACGAAACAGTAGCAACAGCAGGGGCACTTACCCATCCACATCGCCAAAGGTCTGATCAATAGACTTGACATTACCATAGACGTTCCAAGTGACAATGACCTCCTTGCCATTGGCCTCCGGGTACTTGGTGACATAGCCCAGACCACCATAGCGCTCAGCACTGTAGCGGCCCTCGGTCAGGGCGAGGGGGTTCATCTCCTTGCGCCATTGCAGGGCCTTGGTGAGCTGCTCCTCGGCCAGCTTGACGTTGCCCTCGTTGGCGCGCAGGAACTTGATGAGGATGTTGACGGTGGGGACATCCGAGGAGTCCTTGAGGGTGACACCCCACATCTCATTGTAGCCAGTGGAGGAGAGAATGGCCGACAGACGATCGAAGAACTGGCTGAGGGCCGGGTTCTTGGCCAGATACTCGGGCTGAGCGGGCTTTTGTTCCTCCTCCTTTGCTTCTTCGGCCTTGGGCTCAGCCTTGGGCTCATCCGCCTTTTGCTCCTCCTTGGGTTCCTCAGTCTTGGTCTCCTTGGTCTCTTCCTTGGCTGGTGCTTCTTCCTTCTTATCTTCGACGGCCTCCTGGGCGGGAGCGGGAGCGGGTTCCGTCACGGGAGGTTCCGTGGCAGCGGCAGCGGGGGCAGGAGAAGCTGCTTCTTCTCCTGTCGTCGCAGCCTCGACTTTTTGTTCGACTTCGGGCTGAGGCTGGGACTCGGAAACCGCAGGCTCAGTAGTGGTGGTGGAAGGTTGCGCCTCGGGGGCAGCAGGAGCGGCGGCGGCGGCGGTCTTTTCGGGTTGATCGGCCATGATGTATGTAGTGGGATGGTATTATTGGTAGTAGTTGATTAGTGAAGATAGAATAGAGAGAGGGTGGGAGGAAATGAAATTAAAAGAATGTATGGGAATTGCGTGATGCGATCGGATGCGAAAGTGGGATGGGCTTTTTCCAATGACAGCCGTGAAATTAGCACAGTAGTAGGGGAGAAAGAAAAGAAAGAAGGAGAGGAAGAGAGAGAGAGAAACAAGAAAGACAGAAAGCGCAAAAGAAACGAAGCGAAGCGACAGAAGCAGGCAAAAGACGAGAAGCTAAGAAAGCACAGAAAAAGGCGTGCAATCCAATCAGAGGCAGCAGAGAATTAATTAATTAATTGCTGCAGCGGCCGTTAATTTCATTTAGGAGGTTTCAACGGCGATCAGACAAGACAACTGAGTATTATTATTATTATTATCTATCGATTCAGACCAAGATCCAAAGAAGTTTAGATTTCAAACAAACAAACAAACAAACATGGGATCCATCATTATCCCATGGTTGACAATTTCATACATGACTCTTTCACTACTAGATAGATAATACTATAAATCCAACACAACAAACTTTATAACTTTATTCAACATCTTGATCTATTGAGTTGGGGGAAGTGGTAAGTGAAAAAAGGCACACAACCAAGTGACTCAGAAATAGCAACCAAACTAAAGTAGCTATCTACGTACTAGGAACAAAATGATCCATCCCATCCTCCTGAATCTTTTGAAGTGGGCCTGCAAGGATGTTTCAGGAGAGAGACTGAGAGACTGAGAGAGAGACCAGAAAATGATGCCCCCCTGACAGGCTACAGCATGCGGTGACTGATCACATCCACTCATCTCCCTCCAACATGACATGCAAGGCACCGGGTAAGTACTCGAGGGTAATGCCAACTCTTGGTCTTCCTTGATTGATACTATTATTATTCTTTCCTTGTCTCAGGTGGTCGGTCGGATGATTTGACTTGACAGCCCAGCCCGAGGGTTTAGCGAAGAGGCGCGTGCTCTAACTCACTCCATCCCTCATTACTAGTACTTATCACCTTTTCTCTTAATGGTATTGGTTCAACTTTTCTTTGCTAAGTTGTTTTTTTGTATTTTGTTTCCTTTCTCGTAGTAGTATTGATGGTTGCTCTTTTTTTGACACGAAGGATGACGAGTTCCCCCCCCTGGCCTGTTAGCAGGTCAGACAACAACAGTCTGGAACTCTCCCTGCTTTGCTTCGGGTGGATTGTTTCGGTTCCCTGACACTTGACAAGCTCATTTTACTACGGAGTACTAGTCTAGTATCTACGTATCTAGTTCTAAAACAAGACGTGTCAACAATCCATAACTTCCTCCTCCCCCACTGGGTTCATTTCATTTTATCTCTCTCGTCTATCAATCAATCAATCAACCCATCAATCGCTATGAGTCTCAAAGAGCCGACAAATCCACATCAGCTTGTAGGAAAAGAAAAAAAAAAAAAGAAAAAAAAAACACAGTAGTAAAAAGCAGAATACTTCCCATAGATACATACAAGTCCGTCCCATCATGACCAAACAACAACGCTGGGGAATATACAGAGTCCGTTTAATGCAGCAAGAATCAGCTAGTCCCTCCCTCCATCCACTTTCCTGTTTACCTCTTCCCGTCGTAAACCCTTCTCGGGTAGAGTAATTTTAGTTCTCTCTCTCTTTCCGTCCATCCTTTCGCACCCTCACTTTCCTCCATTTAGAAATCGCTCCGGAATCCTAGGCATCGGGGGCGGCACCGCGGCGCTCGAGCTGTCCCCCTCGTCTTCATCTTCGTCCATTTCGTCCTCGAGCTCTTCCGGGTGACTACAAATCAGAAACCTGTCAGTATACCAGACACCATGACAAATCCCACCAGTCCCATTCTGGAAAACGAGGGGCAGCTTACGCAAGGAGTTCCTTAATGTTCCGCATCTCATAGTGCTTCTTCCGATGCTGCTCGAACTGGCGATGCTTTGCCTCGGCTTCGCCCGCCGTCATCAACGTATCTCCACCAGACTCCGTCTCGCCATTCAGCTCGCCAGCCCCGACTACAACGTGCTTCCCGCCCCGATGTGAGTCATTGCTCAGGCTTCGTTCGCGCACGATCCGATCCGCATCTCCCATATGCGCATCACCACCATACTCCTCAGCCTCTCCCAGCTCCAACTCCGGAATATCATCCTCTGCGATCGCCTTCTTGTGCGCCTTCTTCGTCTTGTCCAGTTCGTCCACCACCACCTCTTGCGCATCAATCAGACTCTCCTCACCCGCCAGCTCATCCTCATCCTCGGCGGGGTCATAGCGCGGCGCATAGGGAGTCTTCGGTTCATCAATCTTCATCTTGGCCGTCTTCTCCTGCTCAGTCAGATACAGGTTGGCTTCGTCCCACTTCAGGCGAGGCGAAGACTCGTCGTGATGACCATGGATGCTGGCAAGAGACTGTCGTCGCGACGAAGACCCGGGGCGAGTGTTGGATGACGACCGACGTCGACCGGCATTCTGGAGAGTGTTCTGAAGCGTGATTTCCTTGGTGTCCGTAGAGTCGGCCGAGGTCGGAGGGATCGTCAGAGTAGCGTGAGCATGCTGCGCGACCTGGGGAACTTGAGAACTGGAGTTCTTCAAGATACCTGCTGTCCGATTAGCGACCAGACGTAGAACGAGGATGAGCGCAAGAGGCTTGTTTACCCTTGGGTCGCTTGTGTGCATCCTCCATATGGTGAGACATGATCGCCAAGCGCACCGAAATCAAGTCGTGTAGTCAAGATGTATAGATTGAATAAGATAGAAAGTTGGTAAAGTAAACAGCAGCGACCGCTGTCGAAGGAAAATAAAGTATGAGAAAAATGAAGAGGGGAAAAGCGGAAAGGAAGGAAAAAACAGATAAGAAAGCGGATCAGATGCGCAATAAATGCGACCCGAAAGAGATTAAATGAGCCAGGGAAAGAGAAAATTCAATGAGAGTCAGCTGCAAGTGCCCGAAGGGAAAGGCAGTAAGTAGCTGAGGCTGAGCTGGCGACGAGACACACAGGAAGGAGGCCTGGATGAGGCGGGGGTGGGATTCCTCAGCCTCTGGCGATGAGCCCGACAAATGAGGGCGGTGGCACGGTTGCTGATGATGAATCACGTTCGCGCGGTCCAGCTGGATCTGATGATTACCTGGTGGCTCGATTCACTTTCTCTTTTTGTCTTTGCTTAGCAAGAACAGGGAGGGGTACGAAAGGGGTAAAGGAGAAAGAGGAAAAAGGGGTCAGAGAGTAAGGCGACCAGGAGATGGTGCAGTTGGGTTGACAGTTCTTGTAACAGAAACATCGAAAGAGACAGAAGGAGCAGAAGAAGTAAATGCAAACAGACAGCCAGCCGTGACCTGGCACGTGGGGCTGCCCGTCGATGACGTCGCAAGCATCCGAGGGGGATCTGTTTTGCTACTTACTTTCCCTTCTTCACCTCTCAAACTGTCAGAGATCGACTGTCGACTCCCGACCCACTACGTGGTTGCTACCTGACTACCTGACCCCATCAACGTTGCATAAAGCTGCTTGTATTCTGAACCCTGGTGGACCGGGTTTCCCTGCGTCCCTCCAGTTGCGGTCCGAGATGCTAACGAACTACAAAGCGTTTCTACACTCCCGTCCTTGTCCTGGTATGCGATAGAACTCCAAGAGCCCGATTCCTTCGTCCCCCGTAAAGATGCGACGACTCACCAGCAAGATAAATAAAAACCAAAGAAACAAAATGGTAGACGAACAAGTGATCGAATAGCAGAATGCCGCCCCAAGCACAAAAAAGAGGTGTAAGTGTATAGGGGAATCTCATGACCCTGCCCAGCTCCGTGAAAGACGAAGGACATCCCGCAGAAGAGTAGCATAGCAAAATACAACAGCCAAGGGGAAACCGGGGAGAACACCGTCCATCCAGATCTGTCAAACAGGATATCAATAGATCTGCGCGTCTGCACCAGGATTAGTTGCGTAAGTAGACCCGCGCCGGATGCCAAAAATCGGCAGGTCGTGAATGGTATCAATATCATAGAAAGAGGTGAGAAGGAAAAAAGATATAAGTCCTAAAGATGATCACAAGCACATGCTCGCAAGCAATAAAAGAAAGAAACGAATCGAAAGTAAGGAAAGTACTTGAGTATGAGTAGAACTGCAAAAAAGAAAAGGAGATTTATGCAATAGACTCGAACTCCTCCCGCTCCCGAAGTCGGTTGCGCGCAAGTTCGTCCCCGCCATTGGCCGACAACTGCATCCAGTGCAGTGCCAGGCACATGCTCTGCGGGTCAGACTTGGAATCCTTGTCGCGGCGGTACATCATTTCCGCCTTGAATGTGTCTCGCAGCAGTGTGAGTGGTAGGGTTACCCGCGGGAGGAGTTCAGGGTGGGTAAGGTAAAGAATGGCCAGTTCCCGCTGGGCAACTGGATTGCCTTCCTTGGCAGTGATGATCCACATGCCCGCAGCATCCTCGAGGGCGTGCCCAGGCCGGGGTGTATGGTCGTAGCCAGGCGGATGGCGCCGACTGAATTCTTGAGATACAATGTTATCGGCGATTTCGACCATGCTATTGCAGATCTCGTCCTTGAGGCTCAGCGCCGCCAAGCCAAACTGTAGAAATGCAGTCCCGCTGTCAGTCTTGTTCAACGTCTCCGAAGGAACAAAGGCTGAAATGAACTGCAAGTCACGGAAAAGGGTCTTCGGCTTCACTTCAAGGAGGAGGCTGCGAAGAGCATCCACAATCTGATTCTCGGTGGGTGCACAATAATCAGAGGGTCGGGAGTCGAAAATGACAGACTCGGCCGCAGGAGTCGTCGGTGTATGAGAGGATTCCTGGGCATGAGTCCGCTTGGCATCAGACTCGGAGAAGCTGTGACGGGCGCTTCTCTTGTTCTGGAGCCCGGGAGTACGACCTCGCGGGCAGGAGGGCGGCTCAGTTGCACTGAATGGGCTTGCATCATCGTTATCGGAGTTCAAAGATGCAACAACAAGCGCCCGCAGATCCCGCAATGCCTTCAGCTTGATAAATGGGTTCCCATGTCGCGAGAAGACTTCTATGAGGCGTCGAAAGACAGTACCGTACGAGAAGCGCTGCGTTTCATCTGGCCGCATAGAGTTGTCAGCGGCAGATGCAGACGGTGTCTCGGCATCCCCGGTTGTTGATCGATCTGCAGATTCCAGCGATCTGCTTCTCCGACGGTCCGACGGTGTGCGCTGGAGAGAATGATGAACGAATCGCTCATCACACTCGGTGTAAAATTGCTGGATGCGCGCGCGTTTCTTCATCTGGGTTCGAATTCTCTTCTGTTCCAGTGCGTTTCCAAACCAAGCGTCTGTCTCACTTCCACAGCTCCACACCGGGGAGCCTAAGTCACTCAAGAGCAAGCTCGTCAGGGTCTGTTTCAGGCCGTCCAAGAAAGCTCCTTTGCTGTGCGTTTTGCGATCATTGCGACGTGACGGCTGGACACCGTTATCGCTGAACATAGAGGGGGGTCGGGAATATAGGCTGGAAGCACTTGGTGCATAGTGTGCGGGTTGTGGTGTTGACCAGAATGTGCTGAACGAATCGCCGGTAGTAGTTGAGGCAGCCCTTCCTGGGGACCCGCCGATTGAAGAGGCGTCTGTGATCGAGGGCTCCCGAGGAATTTTCCACTTATCGGACATCAGACTCTGGAAAGAGGACTTGGAGCTCAGCGAAGGTAGGTCTTGCGTAAACCTTGAAGTGTCTGATGGACGAGTAGTAGTCCCGTGGACTGGCGAGGCATGTGGCGTGTCTTCACTGGAGATATTGAACGGTCGCATGCTCGAGGAGAGGCTTAGGAAGCTTCGGTTACTGGAGCCCTCGTACATGGCCCGCTCTTTGTGATACAGTTCGCTGGACCACAGCACCGGGGTTTCGGCCATGGTCTCGCCAACGAGTCGATTGATGCTTGTCTTTACCTCGTAGCAGAACCGGTGGATTCGCTCCTCACCTTTGCAGAAATTGTCGATGTTGTTGTGAGAGAGCCATTTGCGAATCAAGTCCACCTGCTCGTCCGACAGCTTGTTGGGACCGCCTTGACTGCTCGGTGCCTTCATGATATTCATGACTTGCAACTCTGGTTTCTGAAGAAGGGAGTTTCCAAAGGGTCTCATGCTGCTGCGAGACCGACCATCGCTTGGTGCTTGTCTGTAGAGGCGAGCAGAGTAGATCATAGTCTTCAATGCTAGTGCGACATGTTTGGCATCTTCGTACCTCATCGAGTGCTTTACGTCAGTCATGTACCACATCTTGTCTCGAAGTTTAGCCACAGTGGCCATCAAGTCTTTTACGGATCTCTGCACCCGTTGCACATGCCTGTTGAGGGCAACGAGATCAGTTTCACACCGTTCAATAACCGCCCGTGAGGTAGCGAGTGAGCGGACACACGATGCATGCATGGGCTCGAGGATCCATGAGTCGTCGACGCGTCGAGAGGGAGAGTTTGCAATGCTGCGGACAAGCTGTCGGCCGGCATTCCACCAGTAGTGAGCCCCGATGAAATCAGAGTCATGATGGCAGTGTTCCATGGCCCTATCGAACTTTTGCTTTAGGGATAGATGGGCTTCTTGGGACACGCCATAAATATCTATGAAACCATACTCGGCAGCATCATCGGCAGGGTTATCTTGAATCAGTTTCACAATGGCCGTTTGGAGAGCTTCAGAGTTGTCTTCCATTCCCAAGGTGGTGGACTGAACGTCGTCCACAGAATCGTGCTCCGGAAAACTGGACGGGCCATTATCGGGGAAAAGACCCCAGGTCAAGCATCTTCCACTTCGGCTCATGGAGAAGATGGCCCATTCTTCAGCTGCAGGTGGTTCCAGAGTTGCACGACCATCAGGCTCGCTCAGATCTGACAACTCGAAGCGGATCCTGTCAGCATTGCGACTCATGCAATTCTCCGGTAGCGACAGAAAGGCCATGTCAGAAGCAAATAATCTCTGGTCTTGGAGGGCGTGAATGGACATGTTATCGGAAGGAGGCCGGAAAAATCCTGGCTCAATGATAGACGCTATAGAGCGATCTGACCGAGCGGCCAAAGATCCAGCAGGGGACGAAGGCATCCCGGAAGACGAGAGCGGGGAATTGCATGTAGATGCCGGTGTCCTAGGGAATAGAGCATTCAGCAGGGCTAAGATGTCAGCAGCGGAGAGCATCAAGAATGCAGCAGGCGATTCCCGGCTGCTGATAGCTGTCGCGCGGGAAGAGGTTTGTTTTCCGAAGACGTTCCTGCGAGGGTCGGCGTGGTCGAACCGGCAAAGCATGCTCTCAACGTGCCTTCTCACCGTGGGACGAGCCATAGAATAGTGGTTCCTACAAGATGGGTTAGCGAATGCTCTAGATAAGGGCTTCATGTAGTGACTGGACAAAGGGACAACGGACATGGAATGAAGGACGGCAAAGACTTGCGAGTAGGCACGGAGTCCGACCTGTCCGAGGAGCTTCTCTCTAGCATCTTTTCTGATATGGAAGTCAAGCAAGAGACCGTGTGCCTGGACGTAGTGTTAGAGTAGGAGCTTTGAAACATCTGGGTGAGCCTTCTCATACCTCAGGGTAGGTCAGTGCGCTATAGAGGAATTTTGCAAAGAACCACTGGACAAACAAGAACTCAAGAAAACGGTCACGACCGTCCTGACGTTCGAGTTTCTGCAAAATAGCACTGCTCAATTGCATCACCGCATGCGGAAGCCCTCCATCTGGGTCATCCAAAAGCTGGAACAATGCATCTACTGCAGAAGCAAAAAATTCCTCGGCCACATCGGTCTTCAAGGGGTCGGGAGGCTCTGTACCAAAACTCATGCCAGGGGGAGTTTCTACATGTTCCAGGAGAAATGCGCCGGTTTGCAGGATATCCATGAGATAGAGCTCAAATTTGGGCTTTGCTTTCCATTCACTGTTTGTGGCCCAGGAACCTAAAATGTGGCCGAGTAGGGGATCGTACTTGATGCCGCCATCGGATACAAGTTTTGCAAAGACAGACGACCAAACATCCAAGCGGAGCTGTGCTTCCGGGGCATCTGAATCCAATGGGGACGCATAAACGTTGAACAGCAGAGTTGACAGGGCATCCGTACGCTCAAAAGTCAAGGCGCGATCCTTAAGGGAAGAGGCAGAAGAGCGCTTTGAAAAGGAGGCATGAGTCCGGGAACGGGATGCAGGTGGTGGGAATGACATCTCACTGGGATCGCTTGCAGCGCCCGCAGATGATACCAAGGCCGTCAGTTGGCCAGGAGTCAAGGCTCTGATCCTCTCCAAGATGAATTGAGGATCGGTACGGGCCAAATGTAGAATTTCCAATAGATCGGACCTAGATTGGGGACTCAACTGAAGGAAAAAGTCCGGGGAACGGTCCACGGAGGACTCGCGGATGGGCGACCATTCTTCCAACGGATCCTGCCGGTGAAAGTTGCGCCGGAAAGCGGAATCGCATGATTCCTGGAGGTCTACCAGGGTATGATAGAGAGCAACAAAATTGGGCTTATCATCGTGTTTAAGGCGGTCGACCAAGCCTCGTTGGACGATTGAACTGACGCGGACGAAGCGCGCCGAAATCCCCATTGAAACCTTAAGGGCATGGAGACGGTGCTCCAAAGTCTTCCGACGACTCTGATTATGATGATTTTGACGATAACGAACGGCCAACTCCTCAAAGGATACCTTGGGCAGCTCCGTAGGCAGGGCGCCATGGTTGTTTTCCTGGGACTGTCCATCCTGGGAACAGACGGGGCTTGCGACACGCGAAATCGGGCGATCCAAGTCGCCAGACTCACCTATAGTGCGACCCGCCATTGCGTCGGGAGAAAAGAGCATGGGAGACATGCTAGAAGTCGCAACCGGAGTGGAAGATTGAGGCGCGGCCTCACATGGTGTAGTTGCCTGAACGGATGAGGGAATCAAGCCTGACGAGCCAGAAAACAAGGCCGAGCCGTTAGCACGTAGTTAGTCGGGCTGGGTGGCTATACTATTGGGGAAAGGACAGCAATCGATCGCATGAAGCAAGCCAATATCGATGCGTAGGACAGGGGGGCAGGCGATTCGGCAAATTAATTTGCCAATTAAGTGGACGCGCACAAAATGACCCGAAAGGAGTAAACGGAGGAAGACAGAGCGAAAAAAAAAATTGGACAGAAAAGAGTCGAAATCGAAGAAGAAGAGAAGGAAAAAAAAGAGAGCCGTGCGCGCACATACAGGTCACATAAGCCAAGGTGGATGAAAGAGCATCGGATTGGGCATCGAACATGGTGTTGCCATGGGCAGTCGTCTCCTGGACACTAGGCCGAGACGAAGACAGCTGAGGTTGCAAGATGCCCCCGGCGCGAGAAGCTCCCTCACTAGCGCATGGTCCTCCTAAAGGAGAGGCGGTAGGTGAGATTCGGTCCTCATGGGGGGAATCCAGATGGTGATGAATGGCGGACACGATGGAGAGCTCCAGGATGGGAGTGGGGGCGACGAGAGGATGGTAGTAGTGGTGGGAGGGGATGGTGTTGTTGTTGGTGGTGGTGGTGGTATTGGTAGAGGGTTGAGGTGGGAGAAGAGAAGGACGAAGGAAGAAAGAGTAGTAGTAGAAGAGGAAGAAGGGTCAAAATAATAGAAAAAGGCAAAGTGGGAAAACTAGACACACGCAGAGAGAAAAGAGAGAGGAGGGGAAGTTGGAGCAGAGGGTAATGGAGTGTGCGGTGGTGGTAAGTAGGTAGGTAGTAAGTAGACCGTAGTAATGGTGGAAGCAATACTACGAATGAAAGTGGGCAGGATAATAACAATAATGAGGACGACTGATGGAGGGGGGTAGATTGCAGAAAATGGAGAAATATAATCCACACCCACACACACTATTTCGAGGACATATACCAAGAAGGTGGAAAATAATAATAATAAAAATAAAAAAAACTAAAGCACCGAAACAAATAATAGACAACAGTGGGATAGCCAGTCAGTCAAGTCAGCTACCAAGTAAGTACAGTATGTGAGTAGTAAGTAGTAGAAGAGGGATTCGAATGAGGGAAGAATAGTAGTAGAATAGGAATAGTTGAATGATTCACAGGCTGATAAACTCCGACCTCGTCCGGATAAGGGAGGGACAACTGGCTGACTTGGCCGTGGGCGGGATGACATGCAGACACAGACAGACACTCCTCAAGGGAATAACAGAATAATAATCAGAAAATCTAAAAAAGAAATACGAAAAAATAATATTGTTTAAAAAAAAAAAATCAAAAATCAAAAATCAAAGTCCAGTTACTAACGAGGAACTCCCGTGGGCAGTAGTATTACTCCTACACGGCTAGCGGATGCCAGCAAATCGAACGATCCGGAGGGGAGGGGCGAAAGGGAAAAAGCAAGTCAGAGCAGGATGGAAAAGAGTGGTTGGTCAGGCTGTGTGACTGGCTGGTCGGCTGGATAAAGGAAAAGAAGGCGTGGATTTGTTGGCGGTGACTCGAATCGGCCGCTTGCAGGGACCGATGAAGCTGCAGGGTGAGGCAAGAAAATAAGTCCTTTTTCATTTTTCTTTTTTGGCTTACTTCGTCAACTTGTACCTTGCTTGGGGACCGGGGCGGGAGCAGGTACATTATTTACTAACTCTCCATTACTTCCCATCCAGTTTCTGCAGCCCAGACGGCTGACCTGTCCCGGTCTGGGGAAATCAGTAAATTTACGTATGTATCTAAGTAAGTAGTAAATTCCCTGATGCTATGAGGGGAACACCTGAACAACTTAATCAAGTCAAGTAAGTAGCAAACATCCTGTAAATATCGACTGACCCTCAAACATTATCCCCATCAGTGAGTGTGGAAGATAAGTAGTAGTGGTGGTAAGTAGATAGATAGTACGGAGTAGACAAGACACGAAAGCAAACCCGGTCAGATCTCCAGCAGGCCAACGAAACAGCAGAGAAACGGATGAGAAACCGGACTAATCCTGATACTGCTTTCCCTTTTTCTTAGTCTTTTTCTCCCCTACCGAACGAAGTAAACTTCCGCCCGGAACGAAGAAAAAGAGGACAGCAAGAGGGCGCGAAGAGAGAGACAAGACAGACAGAGAGAGCGAGAGAGCGAGAAATTCCTTGATGAGCTGGCAATGCATGCATGCATGACGGACCCTCCGTCGGGAGCCACTGATTTGTTGGCCGCCCCCCCTTACTGTGTTGGCCCGACTAGTCAGTAAGTAGAGTTATGGGCTCAGCCTGTCTGGTCTTGTTTCCCATTCTCGGTCAGGACACACACACTCTCTCTCTCTCACTTTCTGTCTGTGGGTGTCTCGTCTCTTTTACTGAACTGATCAGCTGTACATGGGGGTGAGGAAGGACGAGGGGGAGGGTGACTGAATGAGTAAGAACTTGATGAGTGTGGGTGGACTGAAATGGAAAGTCTAGCTAGTATCCATGTACTTAGCTGGCTTGCTGCTAACTAAAAGGTAACCTGCAGGTCAGACACTTTTCTTCGTAACCCCATAAGAGTAAGCAAAGCAAAGTAAAGCAAATGTTCCGGATCAACTCACTAATAACGATGATTGACTGCATCTTGAAACCCCCAAATAATAATCCCATCCATCCATAATCCTCCTCCTCCTCCTCATCATCCACATAAACAAGACTAACTAACTATCTAGTAAGAGAATAAGTTGACGGTCCCTCCCGTCCCAAAGTTGATTTGTGGCTCCGCGGCACTAAGCCCCATCGGGCGCGACAACCAGCAACCCCCCACCTGCACGTGTTCATCTGCCACTTGCCCAGCTGGGTTCCCCCTCTAGTCCCAATTGGGGCTTAGACCACAACCAGCAGATGGAAGCTGGTGAGGATGATGATGATTCACTCACTACAGTACCCATTCCATCAATCAACAATTTTAACGAACCGAATAAAATGTGAATATTGAATTTTTTCTTATATTTTGATTTTCAATCTTATTTACATGATGCGGGTAAGCGCGTTTTTTCAGCTTCCATGCCTCGGATTGCTGTTGCCCGCTTCAGCTCCCATGTTCATCCAGTCGGAGGGATGTACGGAGTATGTATGTATGGATCTCACATTGCCAGTGTCTGGACTCTCTCTATCTCTCTTGAGTGGGCTACTAGTAGATACAATTCGAGTTTGTACGAGTAGTTGGAGGAAAAGACACAATGGACGCGCATTCACTCACTCATAACCCAGACGCGCAGCTGGTCTAGACGCTGTTCTATTCCATCCACCCACCCCACTTCCCATATCATCATATCCATGATATTCATCCAGGCTGGACTGGAATGGACTGGAATGGACTTACGACAACAGCCATCATCACCACCACCATCACCACCACTCATCTACCTAGAAACTCTACGATGGATAGTAGTGCCATGTACGTAGTATGCATGTACGCAGACAAGTAGGTCCCCGAGAGAGGTGCATCTACCCGGGTTCTGAAGTGTTTCCAATGCCAATCCCAGTGGTCAGGTCTGGGTCAGTTCATGTCATGTCATGTCAATGAGGCTTTCCCGCAGGCTGTGTGCTTGTTGTGTTGGCACCGCTCTGCACTGCGTTTTCC